ATCAATAGTCTACAGCCAAGCACTGAGGGACAATCGCATCTGCTCCAACACCTCAGATATAGACCCTATCTTTTTCCTTTTATGAATAAAAATTTAGTTTTTAGATTCTAAAGGATCGGCAACAGCGTGATTTGTGGGTAAGACCTGATTTATATATTGACCTGGGTCTGGGGCTTGGTCCTTTGGGATCAGGAGAACCTTTTTCTTTTACTGGGGTATTGGTTTTCATAACCATTTGTCCCCATAATGAGTGGCACTGGTGGGAATACTGGGAAACTGGAGTGTCTAAGGAGATTGCTTGTGAGACTTGCGGTTAGCCAGTGGGGTGAGACCGAAGTCCTCCTAGTCTGGCTGGTTTGGTTTGCCTTAGAGGTGGAAAAAACCCCAGCCTTGGGCTGTAACTGCCCTATTTGAGCAATTTGTCCTGAGTTGGCACTCTCAGTTGGGTTCCGCCAGAACCGCATTGTCACAGTGGGAAATCAAGGATCCGTGTCCAGCGGCTTCGTTACGAGGTGGATGTTTGGCGGCTGCACAGGAATCCAAAGGAAGAATGACCGGGAAAGGGATCTGCAGTCTATCTCCCATGGTGCTACTTCCCTCACAATGCCTGGTCCGTATGTGTGCCTATTTACGACGCTGACACTTTAACAGCAGCTATTTCAAATTCAGACCCAAATACGCAACCTCACTCACTTTGTCTCCATAACCTGGCTTTCCCGAGTCATCCCCCTTGTCCTAATCCACCTGCCAGCCACATTTTACTGCTCTGGCCCTGGGTGGGGGGGGATGGCAATGGCTGGGGGCACAATTTAGGCCCTGACTGCTGGGTGCTTTCTGCCCATGCCGCTGGCAGGCTAGCAGCTAAGGAAGGCGACTAGAGCTGGTTCAAGGAATAAGCTCAGATACAATACAGTTCCCAGTATGTTCAGGGCCAAATATGAGAACTTGGGCTTTAACAGGGGTGCCAGGGACCCAACCTAAGGAACAGAGCAAGAAATTAATAGCAGTAGATGCTTAATCTAGTTTGGGGTTAATTCCTTTATAACGTGCTGTCCCAAACCCCACTTGGGAGTCAACATTTTTGCATCAAAACCAGTGAGACGGCAACAAGACCGAGTAGCTCGCACACGCTTCCAGGCCCAAAGATCCCGAAGCACTTTACAAATAAGTCTGTAGAGAAGCCACAGCATTCAGCATCCTCCGGATCTAAGGTGAGTGACATGAGTGTGATCAGGTGCAAGGGAGGGGTCTGACATCCAGGTCAGTGCCTCTGGCAGAAGTAGAGAAATGACATGAGCTCTGTGAAACCCTGGGCTTTGTCTCCATAACCTGGCTTTCCCGAGTCATCCCCCTTCCATCTTCCAGGAGAATGTCTGAGCTCAGGGCTACGAGTGAGACATATCAACTGGCTGATAGGGGGAAGGGAGACATCTCCTGCTTCGTATTCCTTGATGCAGCACCAGTGCCAGCCTAGAGAAAGATCCCTGCTGTTCTCCAAGCCCCAGGAGAGCATGACCATGGCTGACATATACAGGAGCAGCCAAGATTCGGAGTAGGCATCAAGAGGAAAACGGAGGTACCTGGAATGAAAGGGAGGGGGCAGTGGGAAGACCCAGTATGGACTGGCCTAGGAGTGAGGTGCTGGCCTAAATCCAAGCTCAGGTGCCCCTAGAAGTGGGGCGAGTGTGGTGGATGGAGCAATGCCACTTAGTGAGAGGATGTACGGTAGCCCAGGTGCGTCAGCGGCAGAGTGAGGGCAGGCCATGGGATCTGCTGCCCCTCCCCATTAGTGTTAGCTTACACCATGACAGTAGGGACTGGGGGCCCCAGCAAAGATGAGGCACCCATTGCGCTAGGTGCTGTATATAACACAGAGAGAGACAGCCCCTGCTATGCAGAGCCTACAATCCCCGCAGGCGAGCCAGAGGAGCCATGGTACCGACAGGAAACTGAGGCCTAAAGAAACTCAGGCCCGGAGTCACAAAGGGACTTAGGCGGTGTGACGTTGGGCGTTGCGGAGCCTACCAAATCACAGGCTCACACTGGGATCCACAAAGCTGAGTTCGGTGCCTAGGGTCCCTATACAATGCACGGGGAGAGACGGGCCTGAGAATGTGCCCCACAAAGCCAGCACGCTAGGTTAGGACCTGCCTAAGCCAGCCAAGGGGAGGTGCCGATACACAAGAGAGGGGCTCCTCTATCCATGGGACTTAGAACTTTTGTGAATCCCTCCCTAAGTGATGGGCCCAAGCTCCCCCAGGGAGTCTGTGGCAGAGCTAGGAACTGAACGCAGGTGTCCTGACCCCGGTACTAGGTGGCACCACACATCAGGAGCCTTTCACCTCTACAGACGTGGGTGGAAAAGCTGGCCCATGAATTAAGTCTCTTTCCAGGTCCCACTTGTGCTTTCCAGGTCCCAAACTCACTGCTAACTCAGCCAAAGCGTCAGGCTCTGCCTAGGAGAAAGCCAAGGCCACAACAAAAGGGGAAGTTGCCAGCATTGGCAGAGCATTGGCAGAGCTGTGTGGGGCAACTCCTGCAAGGGGGAGGGCTTGGCACAAGCCGCTGCCATCTGTGTCTCACGAGAGTGCTACGTTCACTCGCAAGTAATGATACAAGACAGTGAGAAGGAGAGTCATGTAGCATGGCATGTTACCAACAGTCCCGCTGAGCTTGGAGCGTTAAGCCAAGGTACACACCCAAAGCCCCAGTCTAGAGCAACTGGAGACAAGGGGACCAGGCAGGCAGATCTCCATGACACTTCTCCCAGCTCCGGAAAATCCATCCCAGGTGGCCGCCGTAACATCAGTAATAGGCTCCCAAAAGAGCAGTCACCTTCTGCAGCAGTTCCTTGTGGTTTGCGTACAGCGGAATTCTCTTGTCCACCAGCTGCCACCAGACACATGGCTCTGGGTCGCTGCCCTGGAGAAACTGGGAAAGGAAATCCAAGATGTTACACTCAGGCTGACATTGCCACAGAGTGCGTATTTCCAGCTGCACTCGGCACGTGGCTGACACAGCAAAGCCTGGGACGGGATGGCTCAGGTGCAGAGGAGCTGTTTTCCCCAAGCCTTGATTACCCGGGACTAGCACAAGCACTAACTACTGGTGTTTTAACAAGGGGACTCCAACGGTGTTGGATAAAAGCTAGTTCCTGGGGCTATGTCCTCCCCACCGATGTGTCCCCAGGACACAGCAATGGTCCGGCTGCCCTCCCTCAATGCTGAGCGGAGGCGAGCGTCAGGCAGGTAATAGATTTCAAATGAAGGACGTCATTGAATTTTCCTGGGATCTGGTCTCATGGTGCCTGCTGTTGCATATACAGTCCTCCTTACACAATAAACTTAACAGTACGCCCTGCTCCACCACTGTGCTTCTCTCTGGCCTGGGGTTGCCAACTGTCTAATCGCACAAACCCAAACACCCTAGTCCCGCCCCCTGCCCTGCCCCTTTCCCAAGGCCCCATGTCTGTCCTACCCCTTCTCTGAGGCCCTGCTCCCCCGCTCACTCCAGCCCCCCTGCCTCCATCGTTTGCTCTCCCCCACCCTCACTCGCTTTCACCGGGCTGGGGCAGGGGGATGGAGCGCAGGCTCTGGGCTGAGGGATGGGGCCAAGAGGTTCAGAGTATGGGAGAGGGCTCTGGGCTGAGCCTGGGGCAGGGGGTTGGGGTGCAGGAGAGGGTTTGGGGTGCGAGTTCTTGGATGTAGTTTGGGTGTGGGAGGGGGTTCAGATCTGGGGCAGGGGGTTGGGGTGCAGGAGGAGGCTGGGGGTGCAGGCTCTGGGAGGGAGTTTGGGGGTAGGAGGTGGTTCTGACCTGGAGCGGGGTTTCGGGGTGCAGGCTCTGGGAGGGAGTTTGGATGCAGGAGGGGGCTCAGGGCTGGAGGTTGGGGGGCAGGAGGGGTTCAGGGTGTGAGCTCTGGGAGGGAGTTTGGGTGCGGGAGGGGGCTCAGGGCTGGGGCAAAGGGGGTGCATCAGGAGGTTCGGGGTGCAGGCTTTGGGAGGGAGTTTGGGTGCGGGAGTGGGCTGGGGCAGAGGGTTGTGGTGCGGTAGGTGCTTATTTCGGGTGGCTCCCACAAGCAGTGGCATGTCCATCAGCGGCTCCTAGGCTCACGGGTGGCCAGGTGGCTCTGCGTGCTGCCCCTGCCGGCAAGCACCGTCCCCACAGGTCCCTTGGCCACAGTTCCATGTTCCCAGCCAATGGGAGCTGCGGAGTTGGCACTTGGGACGGGGCAGCACGCAGAGACCCGCCCTGACCGTGCCTCTTCCTAGGTGCCGCTGCTGGACATGTCGCTGCTTCTTGGAGTGGCGCGGAGCCAGGGCAGGTAGGGAGCCTGACTTAGCCCCTCTGCGCCACTGGACTTTTAGTGCCCTAAAATCTCCCGGATTGGCTTCAGTAGCCTCCGGGAGATCGAGCCTGATTCCGGGAGACTCCCGGCTAAACCGGGAGGGTTAGCAACCCTACCCTGGCCTCTCCTCTCTCCCCACATTTCTCTCCTCTTGCAGCCCCTTTCACTCCTTCTCCCCTCTGCCTAGCTCCATTTCTACACCACCCCCATTGCTATCCAGGAGCCCTCTCTCACCTGCTCCTTCTCTGCATTGTCCAGGCTGGGTCCCCCCCACCTGCAGGCAGAGAAGCAGGCTGGAATGGGACCACAAGGCTTGTGAGCACACCACCACCACGCTGCTGAGATCTGGGCCATTCCCCGGGCTCTGCAGCTTGATCCCACACCCACCGAAGTTGGCACGAGGCTCTTCATTGACTTCACTGAACGCTGGCTCAGGCCCTGCGGAGATGCCTGCTCAGCCCTGTCCCAGCGGTGAGGCCTTTCCGCATGGAAGTTAGTGCTTTGTGGGACAGAAGGCAAAAGGCATTTACCGAATTCAGCCGCTTCATCTGCACATCGCTCTGATCTTCAAAGTGCATGTTGATGGCCACTGTCTCGATCCAAGCATTGTCCGTGTTCCTGGGGTCATCGACGTAGCCTTTGTATACCTAAGGGATAGAGAGGGCAGCTGGGAAGGGTTCCCCTTGGGTTTCAGTGTGTTAGCAGAAGCTCACCTGTGACCTGGCTCAGGAGTGCCAGAACAGGGGGGCCAGGGGACCATGGCCCCCATTTTTTACCCCCGTTAGGGAAAGAGAGAAGGGGAGGGGGTGGAGAGGAGTGAACGGGAGGCGGGGTGTTGGGGGGGAAGAGATGGCATGGGGGCGGGGCCTCAGGGAAGGGGTGGCGTGAGGGTGGGGCTTCTAGGAGTAGGGGTGGGGCAGGGGCGGGGCTTCTGGAAGAAGGGGCAGCATGGAGGACAGGGCCAGGGTTTGGGCACTGGTGGCCCCGCCCACTCGTAGGGAACTTCCGCCGCTCCTGGTGACAGAGTGGGGGCTGTGGGAAAGTCCTGCTTTCACATACACCATCCCGGTCATGGGACGGTCCTGCAGCCAGCGGTGTCCCAAAGGAACTCTGGCACATTGCCTGGGAACTCTGCTTAACCACAGCAAGTCCCACGCGATGGTTGTTGTGCCCGGCAGGACAATCCTGGCCTGTTCTATCATTCCTCCGTCCTCACTTCCGCAGACCACACCAGGGTCATGTACACAGAACTGCAGCCCGGGCCCATTCTGGGGCCACCCTGTCCTGCGTGGGAGGAACTGGCATGTTATCATCATGGGAACGTGTGTCTGACTCTTGTCCTGCTTCCCAAACACGGTGCCATGCATCGTGCCCAGCATACCTCTGCACCTTGGTTCAGCAGGTTCTGGAACTGTGGCCAGAACTCCCTCCTCAGGACCCGCTTCAGCTTCAGTGGCAGCGATTCCCCTGGCTCCAGTGATCCCTGCACAGAACCAGACCATCACAACTGGGCACTGTCTGCACAGACAGCTGGGACTCCTCCCTGACTGCAGCAAAGAGAGCAGGCCCCATGCTTGCTACTAAGGAAGCAGGAGTTGCCAAACTATACACTGCCCCAGACGGGGAAACAAGCATGGAGCATCCCACAGGTCTGCTCTGGGCAAGGAGTGAAGGGACACCTATGGCAGAAACTCCTCAGGTGTGCGTGAAAATACGGTTTTGCACATAACTTAATTCACCTCTGGAACTCACTGCCACATGATGTTTCTGAGGCCAGGCTTTGAGCAGGCACTCCTGAGTCAGAACTGACTGTTAAACTAGCATGGAGGAAAATGATACGGACTATTAATCACCTGCTAGGCCGGGGGATGATGAAATGCCACTTGTAGTATCGTATTGCATTGTAAGGTGCATTCTGCACTGGACAGGCTAATGCCAGATGGACAACTGGGCTGTTCTGGCAAAATTATGAGACCTCTGGGCATGGGGAATAAGACGCACTGAATCCCAGATGAGGGCAGATTGTATCTCCCTCCTGCAGAGACCCACAGGGCCTGTCTATGTTTTACATTTTGGTAACATGGGTGTAGCTTGTGATGCCAATAACATCTCTCTGCACTGACTGATCTGCCTACGTTTTCTGAGCCTTTCAAACCTAGGTCAGGTCGATGGGCTCCTTAGCACTTACCCCTGGCAGAGCCCAGTGATCTGACACAGGAGACTTGACAACTAAGACCTCCAGCATTTTCTTTAGGCTCTTTCTATAAATGGATCCATCCATATTCCTTCTCCAGCTACAAAAGAGAAACATGTCATGCTGACCTGGGAGCTGGCTCTTCCCGTACCTCCCCATGGCACGACAGCGAAGATCAGTTTCAGTGCTCAGGGAGGGTCGTGATGGACTTTGCTCTCACGAATGTCATCAAGGAGATTACACACACCTAGCTTTTACATCTGTTAGAAAACAAGCCAGTTTCCCAAGATCCCCCAGCCCTGTTTCCGGATATCAAGGGGAAAGCACAGCTCCTGAGATAAGTGGTTAAGCGTGGTCGTGGGCCAGACAGACACCAGGGACTTCTGAAGTCTAATGCTTACTCTGCTCCCAATTCATCACGTGGCCTTGGGCTAGTCATTTACCTTCTGGGGGGATCTAATACTTACCTATCTGAGTGCAGTGAGCATCAATTAGCTAATGACCGTAAAGTGCTTTGAAAGCATTAAGTGGTGTTTACTGTAAGTGCTAAGCAATAACAGAAGATTATCAAAGATCTAATTGCTACACAATAGCACCATGGTCTATGAAATAAGAACAGGCTGCTCTTTATTTAAAACAAAGAACGGGAATCGTTTTAGCAATACATTTCCTTCTGTACGACAGAGGCCTCTGCCCCGTGCGTTACAGACATAATGTTCCTAGCTCAGCCAGTAGAGGGTGCTGCTCTAGTCAAGTAACTGCCACGTGCCAGTAGAATGGTGCCCAGACGTGCAAGCCGAGATCTCACTCGCTGTACTCACCGCGTCACTATGGGGTGCAGCGCACGGTTCGGTCCAAAGAAGCGTAGGCTTCCTCGGCCTCGTAACCCCGTCCTGCCCATAGGATTCCTAGCACAGAAAGAGCCAGAGAGGCATTGGTATCCCTTCGCCAGGATTATTGCCTTGTTCAATCACGCCGTCGCTCATGGAACTCAATGGCCAATGTCATGGGGTGACGCTGTGTGTGTTCAAACAACAAAGGTGCTGGAAATGTTTCAGCACAGCCCTGAAGGAAGACACATTTCCACTCTGGTATTCGGTTCTTGGAGCTTTGGAAAATTCCAACCATCAAAGGATAATTGCTCAACCCAATTTCAGGAAATGAACATAAACAAACATTCCAGACGCCTTCACCAGGACAGGAGAAGTTATGGTGGCTTCTACTTATGAGTGCACAGTGGGGTTACCTACAGCAGCGGGGGGCACATTGGAAGGTGGGAATGCTTCCACCAGGATAGAAAGGGCCATGTCTCTTGTTTCTTGTTCACCATCCCATTTCCCCGGGAGCCATCGTCTGTTTCCATTTTGCTTTGTCATGAGGCTTCTAGGGTACAACTGCATGGAGCTTTGGTTGGTTTAGGATCAAGGGCACTATTTTCCGCAGTGTCAGAGGCACCATCAGACACACAGCCTGGTCCCTGTCCATGGAGAGAAGTTTGCAGAGTAACGTTCGATAGAAATGTTTCCCCTGTAGAACCTGCTTTGACATATTAGGGTTTCTTTCCCTGGACTTTCCCCACACCTGAGTGAATGGCTTGCCAGTGAGTTACGAGTATCTGCTGAAGTCGCTCCGCCAACATCTGTTCCAGAATACAGGGCATGCCCACAGCAGCCTTTCCCAGTGTATTAACTTCTCCCAATTCACTGGCAAACCCTTGACTGGATGGAAAACGTGCAGTGGAGTCATGCCCTTTCAATGCATGTACCCAGCCCCTCCTCACTTTGACGGCTTCAGAAACTGCTGCCCTTCCTCCAGCCCAGGTAGCCAGAGCCTGCCCTGAAAGGAATTAGCCTGTTCAGGAGACTGGGCCCGTTGGGCTCTGAGCAGACACTACTTGCTGGAGGTGTACTGCTTGCTCTAGGGGTTGGGGTTCCCTTGCTCCAAGGTGTGGGTTTTCCACCTCTCCTTCACTCCTGAATGGTCAGGAGGCTTTGCCTGAATGGGTCCACCACCCAGCTCCAGCCCCATCCCTCAGTCAGCACCACAGACCTCATTCTTTGCCCAGGAAGCACAGATCTGGCTGACAGTGGGAGCCCCACGTCTCTCAATGAGCTCTGGTGGTTTTCCCAGCAAATGGCCAGTTCCGTGTTTTCCAGGACAAAAGCAGCCTCAGGGCCCAGGCTGGCAGGAGGAGGGGGGACCAGGGGCACAGCACTCCCTGAGGGAAGTGGAGGGCCAGTTTCCCACAGAGACATCCTCCCAGTTAGGAGCAGTGAGTAGCTTTTAACCTCCCTCTTCCCTTGAAATCGCCGGGCAGATTGGAAAGGAGTGGGGGAGTCAGGCAGGGCATCTGCAACATTTCAGGCTGTTTCAGGAAACCCAAGACCTGGTGAGTGGAACTGGGCTGGGGATCTCCTGAGCTTCCTCGTGTTTTCCAAGCAGTGCTCAGATTCACATAACATGGGGCAGGAAGCAGCAGCTCTCGCTGCTAATCTGAGGGAGAAGCGGATGGAGATTAGGGACCTGATTCCGCCTCCCACCCGTGGGTGTATGTCAGGAACAACTCCCATGGATTTAATGGAGTGATCCCAGACAGTGTGAGTCAAGAACTAACCACTCTGATCACAAGTGAGCAACCACCGCTGCACCAGGCCTCCTTCTGTGTTGAGATCAGATAGGGTTACCATATTTAAAAAATAAAAAAGAGGACACTCCATGGGCCCTGGCCCCGCCCCTTTCCCACCCTGGCCCCGCCCCAACTCCGCCCCTTTCCCAAAGTCCCCGCCCTAACTCCCCCTCCTTCCTCCCAGCCACGCGAAAAGGGCTGCCCAAGCACTACCGGCTTCACGGTTTGCCGGGCAGCCTCCAGACCCTGCGCCCCCGGCCGGCACTTCCCCAGCGCAGCTGGAGCCCGGGAGGGGAAGCGCCCAGCTGGGGGCACAGGGTGTGGAGGCTGCCCGGAAAACCATGAAGCCGGTAGCGCTTGGGCTTCGGGCAGCCCCTATGCCTCCGGACCCTGCGCCCCCGGCCGGGCACTTCTCCTCCCCGGCTCCAGCTGCTCTGTTCCTCCCCTGACTCAGACTTCGGCTCTGTTTAAGAGCCAAGCTGCCCGAGCCAGCGCTAC